AATAGTTTAATTATTACTCTAAGGCGGGTTATTCAGGGACAAACTTAAACTCTACAATCTCAAAATTTGGGCTTAACCACAGACCCACAACTACACGCAGAGTAACATCCTACGTGGCTACATCAGTGTGTCTCTATTTATACAGTGAGTATTGGTATCAAATATTACCATAACTCAAGAAAATATAAATATAAGAAACTATTCCGTGATATTATTCCCACTGTGCCGCCTTTTATGTGTTCTAAACTTTACCAAGTAAGTAAAATCTAATTCTGGTTCGTGATTTTGTTAAATAGGTTTTGCGTACAGTTAGTCTTTCATAAAAGAATACTCAATTTTACATACCAAATATAAATTATTGACTTTCTTTAGGGAACAACATAATTATAATCTCGGTACGACACGAATTTATACTTTACATTTCAACGTAGTTAAATGTAGATTGTGGTGTTTTTCCAACTGAGATACAAGATGGCATTTTCCCGAGTTGTTCAATTGCTGCACCTATTGATTACTATACATATAAACACTTTAAACGTAACAGAAAATAATTTTATATTGCCAGGAATTACGCCAACAATATATAAGTAAAATCACTATTATTTTGTGTTTTTTATATATAGAGTCATAAAGCAGATGGAATAAAAGAATTTATATTATATTATATTTTTATTATCTTTAGCTTTTACCCGCAGCTTAGCTCGCATGGTCTTCTCAATTTAGCAACATTATTAATTCTGTTCCGTGCCAAAATTGGATTACTTTTAGAGTCACCTCGATGTCTGTGTGTCTGTTAGTTTGTTACAGATTTTCTACCGACTTCAAAACGGAGCCGGTACTCTATTCGAGTGTATGTTTTTTTATATGTGTTACCGCTTAACTTCTTTCTGGGTGAACCGATTTCCATGATTCTTATTTTATTTGAAAGCTGGTACTTCTAATGTTGTTACATATGAATTTGATCAAGGTTTGACTAATTGTTTTTGAGTTATTCTTCACAATTCATATTGAAGTCGGTTGTACAAAATTTTTAATTTTTAATTATTATATTTATTTTTTAATTTTCGGAGGCTATTTGACGTAGGTTATTAGTGTTTGGCATAATATATATAATATGCTACAGGAAAGTATCAATAAGTAAGTTTTCATAATTGCATTAATATCATACGAAAACACCTCCCATTTTTTATATCGGGCGTGTCTTCCAATGAATTGAAACTTTAGTTTTCTTATAATCAAGTTAGAAGTTTTTTTTTGACAATTTATTGTTAAATTTCATGGTCATTTACTAATTGATGGTGTAATGTTTATTTAAGATATTTCATTCATATAATTGGCCGCATTTAATATTGGTTGGCACCTTTAAATAGAAGTCTACTCGAAAAAGCGACGGCTCCGCTGCGCAGTGGCTTAGCAATGAGTTGTTGCGCTGGGGCCGCGGGTTCGAATCCCGCATGGAACAAGTATTTCTATGGCCTACAAATAATTGTTCAGGATCTGGATGTTTGTCCTTGTGTAATTTATGTTTGTAAACTGTCTCCACGATACAGGAGAAAATCCTAGTGTGGGGGTAACGTTTTTTTCATAAATAAATAAAAAAATATTAGCAATATATTTTTACTTTCGGCTAGACTTCAAAAGTTCATAAATGTAGTTCTATTTACGTTGAACGTGAGAAAACTAAACTCCTGAATGTGACTAGAATTGTACTATTCACCTTGTACTGACGGCGAGAAAGAGAATCCGCCACCCCACAATGCCCCGTGGTGGGTGGGTGTTTTGAGAGGCGACAGAGGTAACAAAAATAGGAGATGGGTAACGTCAGATCAACAAATAAATGCTGCGGTTGCACGCCCGCCTGCCAAGCGTACAACAGAGGCCTATATTCAGTTCAGTGAAATTTGTTAGAGTGTAATGATAACCATGATGAGTTCTACTCATCTCCGCTAACCGTAATAGTTATGGTAGAATGAAAACTAAAAGTTTACATCTTCTATAAGGTGAAATAAATAAAAGCTGCATAGTAACCGCATTAAAATTAAAAAGCAGCAGCCTCCATACATCCCATTACTTGGCACAGGCCACAGTGAGTTTTGGGGCAAAAAAAGGTTTGCTGTGCTGACCCCAACGCGGAATGAACCCAACTTGGGAATCTCTCAGATATGCAGATTCCATCATGTGCTGATAAACAAGAAGAAGAATAAATTCATTATTCAGCAGACAGAAGTCTCAAACACTGAGGTATGTGGTACAAATTCTAGCCCACTTCAAAAAAAAATTATCTACATTCATTACGAATTAAACAATTAAATTCCACAACATACCACTATCAATCAATAGGCGCAAACCGAGAATTATTCTGACACATGAACGAATGGCTTTAGTTATATGAAATAACATGACGATACACTCTGAAACGAAGTTAACACCGTCGAGTTTGTATTTATATTTATTTGATATTTTATTGGTATTTTTAGTTTAAAATTTCTTCCGAATAACTTGACCAAACTTGCAGAGCTACGTTACAACGTTGAAAACTATCCATTGGAGCTTAAATATAGTTTACAAATACCCCAAAAACTAGCTAAGGGAAATTTGATCCAAAGTAAGATTCAAAGGAAAAAAAAATGTATATCAGATATGTAAATCCAATTCATGTAAACCAGATGATTTAGTATTAGTAAAGAATGAGACAGGTAATAAATAAGAAACTTTGTATACAGGTCCTTAAAAAGTGCTTAGAGAACTACCACTAAATTATGAAGTAATAAAAAACGGTAAAATAGATATTATTCACAAAAACAAGATCAAATTGTACTAAATAAACATCGGGAACAGTTTATTTGTATTTTGTTTGTATAAAACTGAAAAAAAAAATCACTTTGTTTGTACTGTTTGTATCTGGCTGGTTTTAATATCAATACATATAGTACATTAAGAAAAATAAAAGTAGTAATAAACACATTCTTTCACTTGTAGCAATTTTTTTATCAAATATCCTAAGATTTCTACAGCAACGGGATTATGACACTATCTACAAAATGGCACATATATATCATAATTAAATGTAATTAAACTTTGAAAAAAAAATGGCTTGAATATGTATATAAAATACAAAGAAACTTTTTCCCCGACTTAATAATATGGATCTGAGGTGTAATCCCCTGAGATCACAGGCCGTATGAGAAAGCTCAAGGTCACTCAACGAGCAATGGAGAGGACTATGTGTGGAGTTCCTCTGCACGTTACACTTCGTAATAACAAATAAAATCAGTAGAATCAGAGTAACCGACGTAGCGCAACGAATGAGTAAGCAGAGGCGACAATGAGCCGCCTACGTAGTTCAAATGCAAAGAACCGACAACCGATAGAAATTTTTTTTTTCAAGTGGTAGTCTCATACGGGTAAGTGTAGGGTGGTTTCCCAATAGATGGAGTGATGACTTAGTCAGAGATGAAGAGAGTTGATGAATACAGGAGGCTTAGGACCGTACTATCTGTTATTCTTTGGTTGAGAGTACCTATAACTTGGTCATCAATATATCGCCAATATGGCCGATAAGCTTACGGATTAGGTAAGGAAGTCCCTTGCCGATTCTGCCACTCACTACTCTAGCATAAATTTGCCTTTCCTCTCTTTATCTTTTCTTAATCATATCTTGAAAATAACACTATTCTCTTATCACACAATTTCTCACCAGACATAACATAATTCTTAATTACCGCATTTTTACAGCTTCAATTTTACTCTCAAGTTTTTTCTGTCACGCTCACTTTTCATCACCACGTTTTTAGGGTTCCGTACCTCAAAAGGAAAAATCGGAGCCCTTATAGGATTACTTCGTTTCCCGTCCGTCCATATGTCTGTGTGACAAGACTCTTTTTCTTAGAAACGCGTGGAGATATGAAGGTCCCTTCGAGTACTAAAAAACAAGCTTAAACAAAAAAATTGTGCTATTTATGCGACATATATTGATACTCGCAAAGCAAATCAAAATGTATAATGTATTTCCCATTGACCTACAATCATAAATATTGGCATGAATCGTCTCACGGCCCAAATGAAGGAAAATATTCTAAAATCGTTAATTTGTAGTTTTACTGCATTAAAAAAATGCGATTGTATATTTACATTTTTAGTTGGAGAATTGACCGTGACGTATATTAATGACGTACACTAATAAAACATTTTTTCAACTTCTAAACTAAGTTTGTCCTTCAATAAAATCTTTTCGTCAGGGTAATGTTCGGTGCTTTCATAGTTTATTAAATTCAGTAGGTAATGTTTATTATTTTGATGAAAGTAGTTGTGCAATAACACCGAAGACGGAGCACGCCGATCCAGTAAATGCTAACTCACTCTTGCCTTAAAGATACTCGTACCAATCATATAGTTACACATTTCGGGGGGACAGTTAAAACATACTCGGAAAAAATCGAGACTCTATTCCCGTAATGGACGAACTATCTACTTAATACAAAAACACATAAAAAAAAAAACAAAAAAGAAACAATTAGATTGTATGTTTTTTGTTGCATTTTTTATGTGTTACCTCAAAACTTTTTTCTGGGTGAACCAATTTCGATAACTTTTTTATTTGAATGCAGGTGCTTCTCATGTGTTTTCATATAAATTTTATCAAGGTTTGACTAATATTTTTTGAGTTATTCTAAATAATACATATTGAATTCGGTTGCACAAAATTTTTAATTTTAAATTATATTATAATAGTATACTGTAGGTATGCAAACTTCACACACATGTGTACTTTGTCTTTATACAAGTATATAATTGAAAAATATCATTTCAAAATGAAAAGTTCGTGTTGTATTTGTAAGCGTATCTAACTACTTCTAATGCTAGGATATTGATTTAAATAAGTGTAGGTGTATTTGTACGAGTGCCTCTTTTATATCTAACAGAGATGTTATCAGATTAAACTTCTATGTAGGTGTTAACTATGAAACCAAATAACATAAAATGAAAAGGAAATTGCTTACGTTGAGTTGAAATTCTCTGAGCTCAAATTCTGTTTCTTTTCTTCCGTCATTTTGTCGAATCTGCAATGAAAACTTTTAGTTTTATTTACCTCTGTTGATATATGGAAAATAAAATATATAGGAGAAGAAAGAATGCCTTATCAAGGAGCAGTATGTATACTCGCGCATTCGTTGTACCGTCGTCAATACATTAAAAACTTCATTCCATATTTTAAATGACTTCAAAAAAAGGAGAAGGATATCAATTAGAATATTATATTATATTATGTTATTTTATCGTATGTATTTTAATTCGTACCTTCGGACCTTCGGCAATGTATATCTATTTTTAATGATTATATACATGCATACATACAAACACACACACACATATATATATATATATATATATATATATATATATATACATAATATTTCAAGTGTATTTAATTCATACACTTTTGATCTCAACACCGACTTCTGAAGGTATAATGTTGAAGTCAGAAAGTGTAATGTTTTTGGTGGAGTGACATTTTCGCAAACTGCCTTGAGTTTGAGAATATTTAAAAAAAAGTCTTAACAATTGATTTACATTTTGCGAAGATATCACACACATACATACAAAAAATACAATAGAATTAATAAATTCAATCTTACTTTGAAGTTCGCTAAAAATAGCAAAAACTAAGCAAGGGGTTTATAGAACATTGGCAACAGTGTCTTTCTAATAACAACAAAAATAAAAAAACTTCGGTTGCCAACCCACCTGCCAAGCGTGGCAACTTTAGCAAATATCTCCTTATAAGGCCATCTTGAAGGCATTTTACGTCTATAAATTGCCCAAGGACTAACAACAAGACCCGAAAAAGTTATTTGTAGGACTTACAAACAATTGTTACATGTTCTATAAGTAGTAAGGTTTTATTATTTACACAAACGTAGGTGGTATTTGAAAGTTAATCTCTGAAATAAGACGTTATGTTTATCTAAAAAGATAAATTTGTAAAGCAATGTTAAACTATATATGTTAAGAAATCTCTTAATTTTTTTTCTTTTTTCTTGATTAAATACATTGCTTATAAAAAATATTCTTTATACGTATAAATAACGTACGCATTATTATTATCGTTAAACGTATTATTTACACGATTTTGTCCTTTTTGAACCGTAATAATAGAATAAGATTATATAATATTAATTGGCACCCGACAAAATTACTTTAAATATCCTTTGTCATATATACTGTCTTAAATAATAGACTTCACCAACCTCTAATCTCTACAGTATCTGAATCAAGGCCAAGCAGATTTAGAGCCAGCTGAACCGAATTGATTGCGCAAATATGAGTCTTTAAGAGACCTTCTCATTTCAAAACCGAGTAAGGTAAAACTAAGGTCCAGTACCTTAGTTTCACATAAGAGGGATTTTAATGTCTTATTTTAATTTAATTAGGTATTTACAAAATTAAGGACTTGCTTGACCTATGTTAAAAGATTTAACTATTTAGTCTTCGCTTTCCTTTTAAAATATTTAATATTCCTCAATTCATTAAAACACAAATAAATAGTTACAATCATACAAAGTCTTAAGTTGGTAGAGCTACGGTGTTGGTATGCTAGCTATACATAGCTGTAGCACGAATGGGTCTGCTCGATTGGCGTAGACTACGCTGGTATTCTGTGACAGCGTGATCCTGCTCTTACAGAATACCAGCGTGAAACAGTAGAATAGTGATTTTATGTTTCGTATGGAGTGCAGATAACCGGAGATTCTTGTTATTAGTACAGTAACTAACGAGCGCATTACGAGGCTTTCCTTAACAACGCATCTGCATTTTTATCCTTTATCGATGAAAAATGTAGATATATCTATGGGACATAGCAACTTAGCAATTCTCATCAGTTGGACTATATACTCGTTTGTTACACTTTCTCTGTAAAAATTTTCGCTCTTTTTTTTCTTCTTTCAAGTTCTCTTTTTTACGTGGTAGAGCCATGCTCTAGCTATTTTGTGGTTGCAGTACGAATGGGTCGGCTTGACCGGGGTAGGACCACGCTCTCACAGAATGCCAGCGTAATATAGCAGCTCAATGCTGCTGTGTTTCGTAAGGTGAGTGTAGAGAACCGGAGACCCTTTTTTACTGGAAACAAGGCATTCCATCTCAGTCCTCAGGGTTGGTGGCGCATCTGTATTTTAATTCTTAATTGAGGATAAATGTAGATGTCTATGGGCCACAGCATCCACTTATCATCAGGTGGACTGTGTGCTCATTTGTCACCCTTATTCTATAAAAAAAAAATTCCATTGAATAAAACTATTTTTCATTTAACGGGGACCCGTGACCATGGGTTGCTGTAAAGCACCAAAAACGTCGGGAATTAAAATAGTAAGTTAAACGCGATAAGATCCGTAAAATATAGTTTTATTCAATGTGTAGTGTTCGCGTAAATATAAGAAATCATTATAAAAACGTTCCAAATAATTATAACCTGATGGACCACATACACTAAGCTGATAAAGATTTAGTATTTTGTTTTCAAATTAGACATTATTATTTGTTATCAGTTTAGAACCTGAGATAAAAAGTGTAATAAATATTTATAGTATTCTTAATTAGTTAAAGTATATTAACTCAATAAATCTTACAAAATAATTTTGGTTATTTTTTTGGATTTATTGAGAGTTTTCTCCTTTATATTTCTGTAGAAAATTACTACTTAAATGAGATCATATAACATATAAACATGTTTTTTTAACGTCACGTCGTAACGGGTTTTGATATGCGACAGCTGATTTGTAGTCTATGCTTTGAAGACTATCGTTCTTTATGGTTTCTTTTTGGATACGACTAACTTTAAAGGAACATGATTGTCGCCGCTGGTGATAAGAAAGCTGATTCTTTTCCTATTTGGCATAGCCATTTAGCGAGGGAACGCAGCAAGCGTTCTAGCCTATACACAATAAGAAGAAGCGGAGATATACAACATGTAACAAAAACCCTGTGGTTTCCGTAAAGTACGTTATCAGGACCAGTATTCAAACCTTTAGAAATAACTTTTTTTTAAAAACTCAACCATACTTTTTTTAATTTTATAATTTTTTTTAAATTTTATGTGGTTTTATTACCTCTTACTGACACTAGCCGATGCTAAAGCTAAGTAAAGCGGGGTCTTTCACAATCCTCTTACTCCCCAGACAATGCAGAGGTAATAAAACCACATACAATTTGCATACAATTATTTTTTTAAATAAAAGAAAAAAAATTATGTTCGAGTTTTTTAAAAAAAAGTTATTTCTATACGTTTGAATAATGATCCTGATAACGTACTTAACGGGAACCACATGGTTTTTGTTACATATTGTATATGTATTATCATAATTTTACTTTTTTAATAGTTCGCTCGAGTTTCAAATAGTTCAAGCGTAATGGTAAATCAGTAACATAACCAACGTTACTAAAAGGTAGTTCTTCCGAATCTTTCATTTCAATACTAATTATCGTGAGCCACTCCTAACACATGCATTTCAAGCTTAACTAGAGTTGTTATAATGTAATGGATTACATCTTTTTCATCATAATATGTAGATAAAACTCAAATGGAATACGCATTGCCGTAAAATACTAGTTAGTGAATTTTTATCAACTTTTTTCCTATAAACCGGTCAACTGTCTAATAAATTACCTAAATAAAATAGTACAAATTAATGTTTGAAAACAGTTTTAAATAGAAATCAAAGCAAGCTCACCATTAAATTGAGTTTTCTCAAAGTGCCAATTGATTTGCTGGCATTTCCCATAACATATTTTATAACGTTTTAGATTAATTACAAAGCGGTATGTTAAATAAAACAGTATTGTAGTGATTGCATTGCATAAAGAGCCCTTAGTCATTCATAACACGCTTCATAATTAAGACATGAACCGTATGGTTTTTGTATTGCACCATCAACAGGCACATTTGACCAAACTATATCAAGAAACTGCTTCGAGTCGTGTAGTCTTTCAGTGATAAGCTTTTGAAAAATGTACTTCGAATCAGTGCATAAATACCTAGATTCGGTCAGAGAAATTTTTGGAAATTAGTTTTTTTTATAGGAGAGGGGGCAAACGAGCATGCGACCCACCTGATGTCAAGAGACTACCGCCGCCCATGAACAACTGCAACACCAGGGGAATTGCAGATGCGTTGCCGGCTTTTAAAAAAGGAGTAGGCTCTTTTCTTGAAGGTCCCTACAATAAGTCGTATCGGTCCGGAAAAATTGCTGGTGGTAATCGATTCCACAAGGAAGTTGTGCGAGGGAGAAAACTTCTTCTAAATCGCACAGTGGTGAACCGTCAATCATCCAGATAGTATGGATGGTATCGCGAGTTTTGTCGCGATGTACGATGGTGAAATTGAGCGGCTGGAATTAGTCCGAACAATTCCTCAGAGCACTCCCCGTGATAGAGGCGATAAAATACGCAAAGAGATACAACATCTCTACGCAGTGCCAGTGAGTCAAGCCGTTCGGAAAGAACTCGGTCGTCGACGATTTGAACCGCTCTGCGCTGGATGCGGTCAAGTGGAAGGAGCTGGCACTGGGGAGACCTTGCCCAGAGATGGGATTAATATTACCCTCTTTCTTTAAAAATTTCTTATGCATTTTAAATTATGGTTATACAGTGGAGCCTCGGTAACCTGGAGCCGACCTAATCAGGTAATGGTGATAGTTCGGAAGCGGCAGTCATAACGATGAATTTGTAAAATAATTTAACGATAAGAAAAATAAAGAACATATTGATACAAGGTTTTTAAATTAAGTAAAACATGATTAAATGGCTGCTAAGATATAAAAATAGTAATAATATATATATAACGAAATTTTATGAATCCATATAATATAGTAAAACTAAGTATATTTACCAGTCTTCGAAGTTGAAAAATAAAACCTTATAAGCCAGTGTTCATTATTATCGAACTGAATAGCAAAACGGGACAACTGTGCGTGTGTCGCGACATTTAAAAATGAACTGGCGTAATCAAATAAAGAGATCCGTGCGCCGGAGTTTATCCGTTTGTCACAAATTATT